AACTTTCTTAACCAGCACATAGCTTTGTAGCCATGAAGCCCTGGGAGATTATTAATGGAGATACAAATTATACCTCTGCTGTGGGACAACCTGCCCCCTCCCAAAGGAATTTAGGAGAATACCATGGCAGTGGCTATGCCAAGGGGTGCCAGTGGGCACGGCTTCACACAGAGAGGGCAGCCAAACGTGCCCAGCCCAGGCAGCTGAGAGTTTCCTTTAAGGCTGTGCCTTGCTGTTCAAGGAAAGAGCGATTCCAACCCTTGTGAGCCTGTGTCCATTCACCAGTATGGGAGTGTGCAGGCCTTGAGGGGTCCCGGGGCTTGCCCTATCATGAAGAAGAACCAAATAACTTATTCATGGGGCAGATTCTGGTCACTGTTAAAAATAGCACCTTGTGGCATTACTATGATATATGAGGCTTATATATGAGGCTTCGGCAAGGGGCGGCATAGAAATGTAATAATAATAATAATAATAATAATAATAATAATAATAATAATAATAATAATAATAATATGATTGGTAGTATTACTATTAAAACTGAGGGCTGGGAGTGTCACATGGATGACCTGGCTCAGTTGCCAAAATGTTTTGGGCTCAGCCAGGAAAAGACAAAAACAGGGCACACACCTTTGGGCTGCATTTCCTCCTTGGGACGGGATGGGATGTTGTGCCTGGCAATAGGATCTGCTTCAGGGGGGTGACTGACTACCTGTGGGGGGTGGCCTTTGCGAACCGGGCATGCTCTGGCCACCTTGCAAAGAGCTGCCCAGACTGGGTGGGCAGTACTGGATCTGCCTTTGCGGTTGGGCTGACCCTGCTTGGAAGAGAGGGCGGCAGCCTCGGAAGGCATTCCCCATCCAAGCTCAGGCATGTTAACTTTTCCCCTAGTTGAGAGGCCTGGCACTGATGAGAGGGAGAGAGCGGCTGTCCTCATTGGCTGCCCTCCCCTCCCACTTAGTGACCTTTGGAGTTACTCCTGGGAACTGCAAGCCTCGTTTTTTTCCAGAGGTGGCATTTTGTGTGCTTTGGAATATTAACCTGGCAGCTGCAGGAGGTCTCTAGGAGGCAGCCCAAAGAGCAGGAAAGCAGGTCCAGCAAATGGGCATTTAGCTGAGGTTGGCCCCTGGCAAGGGAGGTCCAGCAAAAAAGGTAAATAGGTATAAGCCGGACTGGGTGGTGCAAACGTGCTTTTGCAGCCAGGCTAAGCTCTGTGCAAGTCACAGGATTAGGCCATTCATCCACCTCACTAGCAGGCATTAACTCAGAGTCATAGAGAGATGCTGATGTGAGAGTCCTGGAAAGCAGCATGGCTTGGTGGCTTATCTGGTGCTTGACATGCCATGAGCACAAACCCCTCTCTTGCCCCTAAGTGCAGCATTCAGGGTTGAGTAAGCATGAACTCTCTGTGAGAACCCAGGCTCAGCTGGGTGCGATGGAACATTATCTGCCTCTACAGTGGATTGCTTCCCATTGCATCCCCAATCCGTTCCCAGTGGATTGTGTCCCACTGTGGGATACAGGGGATTCTTTCAGATCTGCCAGTTTCTCATTATGTTCCACATCATGGTGCTCCAAATCTGCCATCTGCAGTGTCTGCCTCTCCTTGTCCCATGGTCAGGCCAACATTGTCTGTGTACATTCAGACCATATGCTTTCTTGGTAAAATGCAAATGTGGCAGTCACTAAAGGAATCGCTCTCCACACAGAAAATGTTTTGCCTTAAGATGTGGCTGTTTCAATGTGCCAATCATACTTGATACAAGGCATATAGTTTACATAGTCTGGGTTTGCACTGAGTGTATAAAATACTGTTATGTCCTCTCTATGCATAGTGAGCTGTTCCAGGGACGGCCTCAGGATTCGATATCATTTAGAGGAAAGAACACTGGATAGCAATGGTATCTTTTGATGTATTTCAGATATGAAAACACAGCACTTTGAAAGGAAACAGGCACTCCTACAGTGTGCACCTGCACCAAGGCCTCACAAGAGAGCAAGGGCACCCATCCCTGTATCAGCTTCTCTGTATACGTGTGTTAGACACACTTGTATGCCTGTTTCTCCACCTTGCTTCTGGCTGTTTTTTCATCTACCTCCCTGCCAGTAGAGGCTGCTACTTCCCAAACTTTGAATGCTGTATCACCCCGAAGACTGGAGAGAGATTCCCAACTATCATGGGAACATCTCTTACAATGACCTCTATATGAAGAATCACCTACCAGACACCCTGGACTATCAGCCAGGCGTCAGGCTATCAAACAACTGTCACAGAGCAACTGTTGTTATATCAAAAGAAATGGCCCCCATGTGCAGGAGATTTTATTTAGCTTTTTCAGTATAGCAGTTTAATGTTCCTGAGCAGAGCAGCATGCATGCATGCATGAAAGATTCTCCTCTTAACAGCATTCGTTAGGGGAACAAGATTGAATTGACATTCCCTTAGCAAACTGGATGTTACATTGGCAAGAAAGAGGCAGAGTCCAGCAAAAAATAACTAGAATCTAATTATTAAAATTGGACTTTTGTGGGACCAGGAATATCTCTCTTGAGTCCAAATCTTAATACGTTGGCCTCTGGGAAGTAATGGAGATGAGAAACTGCAGATACCTTTGACAGTAATTTGGCAACACGTGACAATTTTTGTATTGTAAAATGCTATTGCTTCAGATGCCTAGTTGGTAGGAAATAGTAATCCACATCTCTCATTGCTGCAGTATAGTCAGGTAAGAAATTATATTTAGGAAATTATTACAGGGGAAGATTTATTCAAGAACCATATTCCCTTTGGAAACAAAATGCTTTCTAGAAGGAAGGAATAAAAGATTATTGCCTAACATAGTTAAAATTATACTAGTTATAAGGAACAATAGCATTTTTTGCTTATTTGTTTATTTCTATACTGTTCATCAGTCAAACAGGCTCTATGGATGGTTCACAACATTAAAATTTGCAACAAACAATGATCAACAATATATAATAATCAATAACATATAAAATCAAGCAGAAATAATACATCAGATAAAATGGCAACATAAACTCACAGCAACCACAACCAGATCAGTCCAGAAGTATATTAGAGGTCCAAGATAAAATACTACAGTACCAGATAAAATACAATGCCTTTACATTGTAAGGACAAAAATGTAACTGTTAAAATATTGGGTAAATAAAAAGGTTTTTACCCAACACTGAAAAGAATAAAGAGTAAGCGCTTGGCACACCTCTTTGAGGAGCTGGTTTCATAATCATGGTGCCACAACCAAAAAGGACCTTCCCCTACTAACCACCCTCTTTGTTTCCCTTCAAGGGGCTCTCTGAGAAGTACCCCAGAGGATGGCACATACGGGAAGAGGCATTCCTTCAAATAGCCTGGCCCCAAAATGTTTAGGGTTTTAAACAGTGTTAGTACTTTGAATTGGGTAAGGAGTGGCAAGATATGTTCTTGTTGGCCACTGGCTCACCTGGTTTGGAGGAAAAAGAGAGGTGGAGCTGAGCATCATCAGCGCATTGATGACATTTCAGTTTATATCTCTGGATAAACACCCTCAGTGGTTTCATGTAAATGTCAAGGAGCATGGGGGATAAAATAGAGCCCTGTGGTACCCCATGGCATAACTGCCATGGCACAAGCAGTAAAGCCATAATCCCCCAGCACCACCTTCTGGAATTGGCTGGTCAAGCAGGAGCTGCAAAGCGGTGCCTCCTACTCCCGGCCCAGCCAGCTTGTAAAGAGGGTACCATGATCGATGGTATCGAAAGCCATGATCAGTGGGTCTCCTGAAAGGTCCAGGAGAATCAACAGGGTTGTATTCCCCCGTCTTTTGTCCCGCAGTCTCCGTTCCAAAGCCAGGCCTGAAGCTGGACTAAAATGGATCTAGATGGTCAGTTTCATCCAAGAGTGTCTGGAGCTGTTCAGCCACCACTCACTCGCTCAGGCACCTTGCCCAGGAGGGGAATGTTGGCCACTGGCCCCTGGTCTATAATTATCAACCTCCTCTGAGTCCAGGTTAGGTTAACTGAAGTAGTTAAATAGAAATAAGGGAATTTGTATACTGAAAACAGATCAAGAATGGGAATATATTTGTGCATATTCAGACATGTTTTGGAGACGTATTCAAGAGAAAACATCAAAATTGTTGATATATGAAACTTGTTACTTGACTATATTAAATATGAGCTAAGGTATGTTCAATTGTATCATGTATTAGAAAATATTATGAATTATAATTGTAACAGTTTTAAAAATCTCTAAGAATCTCTTCCAGGGATGCTGTTTCATTTGATATTTCTAGACAGGTTCATTTTTAATGGTTCTTGGAAATTTTCATCATCCAGGTTGCAATATCAGTGTCCAAAGTTATACTGTTCCTGTAAGGCTGGTGCGGCTGGATGCGCATCGTCTTTGTTCCTCCCATTGACAGTTGTTGCTGTTAGGCAGGTGGAGAGAGAAAGGGCTTCAATGAGTGCATTTGCATGTCAGAACAATCCATCCTGGCAATATGTCACAGTGGGTTAGTTGTGTAAGCAGTCCATGGTACACCGGACAAGCGCTGAGGCTCACAGGTTCACCTCCCCGCCATAGTCGTCCTGCAAATACCCCAGAGGGCACACGGCAGTAACTACTGGCCTGTTCCCCCCACCATGGCTGCAAGCACTTTTTCACTCGCATGACTTATTTTACCCTTTAGCCCTTCTCCCCACCAGAGATCATGGTTTCAGCCCAACAGCCAGTTTCCACGATCTCTGTTTTGACAGCCACCAACAGCCCTTTCAAAGGGCCCAAACAACAAATTGGACAGGCTGTCAGTTGTTGGCAGACTTTTTTTCTAGTGCCCACAGTGTGCCCAAAGGTACTTCAGCTTGCAGCACATTTTGCACCCTTCCCAGAGACTCTGGCCACTTGGGAAAGCAACCTTTGTGCAGAAAAGTTTTGACAGCTACCTGTTCATGTCAAAATCTGTTATCCCCAGAAAAGAGAGTGGGATTCACTTTTGCAGTTTTCCAAGCAGCCGGAGTCTGCTGAGAAGCCCTGAGAAGAGTCAAGGCAAAAAAGAAAAGGAGGAGGCTCTCACCACAAAGGGTATGTACATTCTGCCACTTCCTTTTCATGTACAGCGATCCTTTGTCTTTGCTTTCTCTTGATAGCTTGCCTTTTGAAAGTCATCAAGAGAGAACAAGGTAAAAGAAACCTATTAGCAGCCCCCTTCTGTCTATGTCAGGGGTTTGTACCTGCTGCAGTCTGATGCAGGTATCCCCCTACACCCTCACCACCTGAGGCTTCCCATTTCCATGCCTGCAGAACAGCTGCCTGCACAGTTGTGCAGGTGCAGTTAAGTTTTTAAAAACAAAAATAAAAGCATTTGTGCATATTGTGTATGCAATTTTTCCATTAATTTTATTGAAATTTTTAAAGAAAAAATAGTAAAAAGTATTACAGTTTTCTATCATAACTTGAACAGATCCATCACAATAGATGCATATGCAACTTAAACCCCTATATATTTTATATATGACAAGATACACTATTAGCCATAATTATATATAGACTTCAGCAAAGGCAGACCAAATATATATTTGTGTAGGCAAAACAAAAAAAAGTTTGTCAGCCCCTGACAGCCTCTTCACTTGGGCATTTTGAAAAGTCTGCTACTGGCTCTCAGGATGGAGATTGTAACAATGGGCTATCAAGCTGGAATTCACAATCTTTGAAGAAAGCAGGGGGGGGGGGGGGGGAACCTGTGGTGAGTACAAAGTGACAGGGAACTCTCAGCCACTGCGAGTCACCTAAAAGTGCTGCTAGGGACCCCATGAGGTGACCAGCAGTGGCCTAGACAAGCATGACAAGAGAAGCAATGGTTGGTTTTTGGTTTTTTGTTCTGCTTCTCTTTCCAAGTGCCTTGTTAGCCGCTTCCTAGTACCCTCAACATGGTCAGTTGCCTGGGTTCAGGTTGCCCATGAACAAGCCACCCTGCGGGTATTGGTCTGGTTCTATATGGCATTATAGTTTGTCACCTTTGATGTGGTGCCACGTCATAGAAACCCTGTCAATACGTTCATTGTCAGTGGTTCACTTGCGTCAGAAATGGGGAAGGTTCAGCTCTCCAGATATTGCAGTCCGAAAGCATTTGAAAGGACACATTCACCCACCCGGACTTACATGTTCAAGGGGCCCTTCCCCACTGTACCCTGCATCTCGAACCAGCCAGCTCTGGTCTTGTTCGATCCTCTTCATCCATCCTGCCAGCTGATGAGCTTGCTGATCTTTACTGATTGTCCAATGACTCGAAAGGCCAAAAGGATTTCATATATATGGCTTCAGAATCCGCCAATTTCTTGTCTGAAAACCACGGTTGTGTTTCCCTTAGTTCTTTTCACTGGAATTGCCATGTTTGTTTACTTTTTAGGGAGAATACAGATAACATTTTCCCCAAATTGTCACAGTTCTGTGTTTTTGTGTTATCCCTTCCATTTCTAGATCTGAATTGTGGCTCCCCCCCCCCCGCATAACAAATAAAATACAAATGTAGCAGCACCAGCCAGTCCCATGCAGAAGGAAGAATATTATGAAACTTTTGGAGGCTCCTGTGTCTTGAATTAAAGCTTCCTGTTTGCAATTCCCTCTCCTTTTAGTATTGCAGCAGTAGATTTGTAGCACAGTGATTAATGGTTGTCTCCTAATTCAACCATTTAGGAGCCTCTCTTAATCTTGCTAAGTGTCAGCCTCTGTTCCCATGGTGGTATGGGAGGGAGAAGCCTTTAGTTCCCTCTTATTCTCCTACAGTGAAATAGGATTATTTTGCTATAAAAATGAATGGAAATTAGCAATTACAACCCTTCTCTTGCAGGAAACAGAATGGATGCTGGGGCAATTAAGAGAGGTTTTTAAATGGGACAATTAAGAGACTATTAGGTGCAAACCTTTATATATTAGACAGGAAAAGCATCCTGCAGCTCCCGGCATACCCCAGGCAGCTTTTTTTCCTGTTTAAACATGCATAGGATTGTGCCCTGAAGTATTACTCTCTTAACCACAAAAAGCAGGAAGCAATAAAACCATCAGGATATGCAAAAAGGGAACTTTTTAAAAAATTGACATTGGGAAACGTCTTTGCCAAACAGGGCTTACCTCTGTGGAAACAGAAAGATCTTGGCTATTCAGAAGAGCAGGATTAGGTAATATAGCACTATGCAAGCTATGTGTGACCTATATTTTAATTTTACTTCCAGATAATTATAAAAACACTAAGCCTCTGCAGTGCTGAATGGCTTAGTGCGGAAATTACTTGAGCGGTTATCAGCAGACTCCCTTTGTGTCTGCCTGCGTGTCTGCACACCCGCCTGCTGTAACCCCCTTGCTTCGCCTCCCCCAGCCTGTGGAGCAGTGGCACCCACTTTCTGCATGCTGCAGCCTTGGCCCTGTGCTCCCGATTGCCAGTTCTGACACCTCCAGTGCGTACAGTTGATATCCTGCAAATTGGACACGGCAGCTGTTGTGCATGGAGACTGTCATGTCCTACTTAGCTTCTCTCACCTCCTTTTTTCTCTGTGCCCCCTAAATCAAAGGAGATAGGGCCTCAATATTTTATTATTTGTGAGCAGTTGCAGAACATCATTAGATAAGGCCTGATGTTCATTAACATAACAAATGCAACATATACTTTCCTTTTCTTCTCTTCCGCTGCTGGCTTCCTGCCCCCAAGCAGGCACTGTCACAATGCATGAACGTGCAGTTGCATCGTTTGGGCTGACATCAAAGGCGACGAGCTAGGAAGAGGACAGAAAGCGAGTCATGCACAGGCATGTCTGCTCAGCCCAACCGCCTGCCTCCAAAGTAACCTATATTTATATCAAAGGGAGTGGGTGACCTGTCTGGGAACCATAGAAGTTTCCCAAATCCATGATTTAAAAGCAAGCGTGCATTTTAAAACTGCATGAAGAGCTGGAACTAAAGCAAGCAAAAAAGACCACTGAAATAAATTGCTTGGAACACTTGGCGAGAGTGAGCAATAACGGGGCCAGGCGTGACTCTCTGGGGAGTCATTCCAAATCTGGTTGCTGCTACTGAAAGGTACCCATCTGTTGTACTTCCAGCCTCACATCTGTTAGTACTGGAGATGGGCTATAGATGTCAAGTGAAGTTTCCAAACAAGCAGGTGTATATGGGGAGAGGAGCTCCCAGGCCATGTGGGGCATTTAAGGTCAAGGCTGACATCTTGAATGGAGCCCAGAAACAGACTGGCAATGGGTAAAGTAAAAAAAAGCCTAGAAATCAATTGGCAACCAGTGAAGTTGTAAATGGTTACTTGGCTAATATGAACCAAACTGCTAGCCTTAAAATTCAACCAACCTTTAAAATCAGATGGCTGCATTCTGGGCCAGCTCAAGTTTCCTGCCTGCCTTCAAGAGCAACCCCATGTAAAGCGCCTTGCAGTAATTCAGTCTTAAGTGACCAGAGCAGCTTTCCTTCCCCATGTCCATGCCCTCCTAATGATCCCCAGCATCCCTGACACTATCTGAGGCTGGTGAGAGGCCGAGCCAAAAACACCTGGAGGGCCTCTGGCTAAAGCATGGATGACTTTCCATGCGTAGTTGCATGGCTGCTGATGGCGCGTGCAAGGAATTGTGTGCAGATCAACGCTCTTCATGCCATTAAAAGGGCCTGGAGACCACGCATGCAGGGTCACGCGGAAGGGGGGCCTGCGCAGCATTTTAAGCATGTTCTGGGCTGTTCCATCACTGCCTCTTCCTGTAGCACCTGCAGGTTTGCAGCATCACCACCCAGCCAGGCCCCCCTGTGTGACTTGGGCCAGAATGCCTTTTGGAAGCATCTCTCTTTTAAGCAGTTTGGAACTTGACTAATCCATCCTCTCTCCAGCTGTGGTTGTATCAGGAGAGTTGTCTTCAGCCCTGGAATGACTGTGCTCCATTCAAATAGACTAGGCACCGTGGGACAAATACTGGAAGCTGCCTGAGAAGAGACCCCCCTTTCCCCTGCCATGCCTGGGCTTGCTCCTGAATGCCATGAACGCAGTGGCCAGATGTCAGGTGTGGGCAGGGGAGGGGGCCTGTTTGTGTGCAAGGGAGAACTGAGGGAGGGAGGGAGGGAGGGAGGGAGGGAAGGTGAGCGCTGGCTTCCAACTGGCATCCACTGTCCTCTGGACACATCCCAAGAAGCTCTGTTTGTCTTTCAGAGGGAAGATGGCAGAGAGCTCCCTGTTTGCGCAGCGCCTGCACGCCATTGCGGTGAGTGCTTGTGTTTTTCCCACTTGTGTGCAGATGGGACCCTGAGCTCTCAGGTAGGGGAATTCCCCCAGTATTCCAGAAATGGGGTGGGGGGAATCCACCGGGGCCAGATCTGTTTTTCAGAAGGAAAGGACTCTTGACGCACCAAAGTGAGGGTGGAGCAATAGGAGGAAATCTAAACCAGGTGCCAACCAAGACCGAGAGAGATGTGATACCGTGCCTAAAACCTCATCCAAATGTATGCTACAGTTCACAAGTTACATTTCAGCCTTCCCTAACCTGATACTTCCCCAGATGCTTTGGGTGGCAAATCTCATCGCTTCCTGCTGTCTGGGATGATGGGACTAGGAGTTCTACAATGCTGGGAAGACAGCAGGCTGGGGAAGACAGCACAACATTGTGTGATATTTTCTTCTCAGTTTGAACAGACACATTTTATGTGTAAATATCAGCTTGCAAGGAGGCTTACTGAGGGCAGCAGGCTGGGCACAGCAGCAGGGCATCTTTTGCCTTGAGGCTGCAGCCTAGCACAGCAATTCAGCCATTCAGCATGGCTGGTGGGAAGGAGAAGGTTGGTGGTGTGAGACTTTGCCCAGGCCCTGCTGATGACATGTGATTTGGATTTTTTTCCCCAGCAAAGCCTCTCAGCTGGCTCACTGTAAACATGCCAGCAGCAGGAGCTGTCTGCCTGAGCAGTGGAAAGCTTGGCATTTGAGCAGTAGTACTCTTTTTTAGACAGAAACAAAAGTCTGCAACTCCCAGCATTCCTTTTTTCTATCTAAATGTGCATAGGGCTGTGAATTTTATGAGGCAAAACAATCTTTAAAAACTTGCATCAGTTTTACAAAAAGTTCAAGCTATGTGCAGCTGCTGCTTATAGTTTAACTTTAAGTAGTTATACATAAATTCCAGAAGTTAGAATAGTTCCTTGAATCTGTGCCCTCTCTAGACTTATGGAGAAAAAGAAGGAAAATCACTTCTGAAATAGTTATTTTCAGGGGGCTGAAATAACTGGTCATGACACAGCTCTTGGTGCAGGAGGGGGAAACCTTCGCTGGGATTCAGCGTTGGAGATGCTCTCAGGGCCCGGGGTGGGCAGGACCAAAGGCAAAAGGGACGGGGCCACAGAACTAAAAGGATCAGGGTGCTTTAGCTTAAAGCTCGTTCTACTGGCAACTTGCCTCCGTGAGAGGCATTGTGCAGGCCTCAGAACAAGGAACAAGGAAACCACCAAGCAGCAGGTGGGGAAAGGGAGTAGGTCAAGGGGATGGGACTGAATCCATCTGGAGAACCCCAGCAAGACTGGATCTGGCGCTCCTCGGAGCATTTGTGGGACCATGGCTATTCTATTAGGGGTGTGGGGTGGTGGGGGTGGTTTTTTCCCACCCAGTGGCTGGGTTTAGAAATTAGGGATGATTCCATCGATAATCTTTTTTCACAGCTGTGAGGCACAGGGCAGGTCCTGTGACACTTTCTTTTTTCTCTGACTCAGTCTTCCAACCTACATCACCAGGCACTGTAGGATTGCACCTAGCTGGGTAGCCAGATGCAAAAGGAGTCAGGGCTCTTGCACTTTTAACAATATCCAGAAGATGGTATTTCTTTAGGAGTACCTTGTTGGGCAAGCTATACCTAGTGACATAATTACTGGGTTCAAGAAAAATTATAACTGCTCTCAAGAGCTGAATATGGGTTGAGTATGTCCTGCTATTGAAATGTGCATTATCAATTTGTCTGAACCCAGAAGTTCTATCAAGCCAGGGCTTGTTAATCAGGATCAACCCATAAAAGGAACCCATGGCTTTTTCTATCAGTTGGGTTCAGACAATGTGCTAACCCACAATTTAATGAGAATCCATGGTTCAAGAACATTCCACACACAGTCATTGACTAGGCTTGCACAATAAGCTATGGTGAGTTATAAGCCATGCTTGTTTCAGAGTGGCTTGTCATGTTGTCTGAACTCAGTCAGAGTGGCTTCTGCATTGCTAACAAACTGTACTGCTGAGTCAGGACAGCACAACAAGCTCACAAGCTACCTTGGCTTACCATGCTGTGCTAACATTCACAGAACATAGTAAGCAATGGCTGCTTATAAACTAGGGATGACTTGTCATGTTGTTTGACTCCAGCATTATGGTTTGTTAATTGCTCTGGCTGGGTTCAGACAACCCAATAAGTCACCATGGCATTATTGTGTTGTGTGAATTCAGTCTTTGACTGGGCTGGACAATCACTGAGAAAAAGAAGCCATGCTGGTTTGTTTTCTTCTGCCCTCCACATATTCATTGTGTGTCATTTGATTTCCCGAAGTACCATCATGGCATGTGGCTTCCCATGTCATCTGAACCCAGTGTGCAAAGACGATGACTTTGAAACTGCTGTGGAAACCATGGCTTATTGTAGGGTTCGGAGGTGGTGTCATCGCCACCCCCCACCATGCACTTCATCAGGCCGAGGCGACACAATAACCTGAAGCTGCATGCCATGAAGGTTATTAGATTATATGGTCTGCCTCCAGGATGTGAGGGTGGGGTTTCTTTTCTCCTGGTGATCATGTGAGCCAAGTCTTGGCATATGCTTATAACGCTGCCTGAACTGAGGTGGTGGCTAGCAGGGCAGGAGTCCTGGCTACTTTTGTATCTGGTGTCTCTAGGTCCAAGCAGCATAGGCTGGCCGGGATACCCCTTAAATTTCCCACCTCCGAGTATGACGCATTTGAAGGTTTGCATCTCCCGCAGCATGCAAAGATGACATCCTGAGGTGTTTCAGTGGCTGCTGCCACTCTGGGGCTGCAGATGGATAATACCATATCTCTGAGAGCTCTGTCACTCTCTCATTGCCTCATATAACTAGCGCATCAGAGAGAAATGTTCTCTGCTGTGCTACATTTCTTCTTCCCAGAAGGCTTCTTTGCTTTCTTCCTCCCAGCACCAGTTGTATTCTAAAATTGTTATTTATTTAGTACAAGGGGGTGGAACCTGTAGCCCAGGGTCCCAAGCTGGCTCACTTGGGGAACTAATTACAGCCTCCCCAGATAGCCACACCCCATTTTCCCTGGGCCCCAATAATTTTATTTTTCCTGGCTTTTGTTGCAGTTGTCTCCCCAATCCAAAAGACTGAGAACCTCAGTCAGCTCCAGGGTATAAGTGGCAGTCATCCTTGACTGGAACACTGGGGCTAGGGCTAGAGGGGGTGGCCAGAGGCTTATCTCAGCCAGGCCCAGGCCCTTGGTGAGGTGCAGCAGGGCCAGAGACAAAGGCAGAATCAGAAAGAAAATGCAAGTGAAAACACTGCAAGACTGGAGACAGCCACCACAGAGACCCCTGTTGCTGTGGCCAAGCTGAGCAGGACCGAGAAGTGGGTTGGCTCTAATCACAAGCACCTACCCTAGTACAGTGGTACCTCGGCTCATGAACGTCCCGGCTCACGAACAAAAACTACTGAAAAATTTTGACTTGGGTCACGAACACCGCTTTGGGTGGTGACCAAGATCACAGCCATCTCCCCTTCCCCCCAGTGGGGAGATGGCCACGATTGCAGTTCCATTCGTGGAGGGAAGGCGTCTGTGATCAGAGACATGCTGCAGCACTAAAGATGGGTGCTGCAACGCAGAGCTGCGACTCTGATTGTCATTCATGTAGCCGCGCAGTTGCTTTCGTGCAGGGAAGGCGTCCGTGATCAGAGGTGCACGGCTGCACTAAAGACAGGTGGATTCGCGGCTCTGCTTTGCTGCTCCCGTCTTTCCTGCAGCCGCGCGCCTCTGATCACCATGCCTTCCCTGCATGAAGGCAACTGCGATTCGTGATCAGAGGCATGCGGCTGCACGAATGACAAGCGGATTCGCGGCTCTGCTTTGCTGCACTCATCTTGAGTGCAGCTGTGATCCTCTGATCACTGATCGCAGTTCCATTCGTGCAGGGAAGGCATGGTGATCAGAGGCGCGCTGCTGCAGGAAAGACGGGAGCAGCAAAGCAGAGCCGTGGGGGAGATGGCCGAGATTCCGCCTGTCTTTCCCGCAGGAGCGCGCCTCTGGTCAGGCACACCTTCCCTGCACGAACGGAACTGTGATCGCGGCCATCTCCCCACCCCCAGCGCACCGTTTGCGCCCAACTCTCCCTCCCCCAGTGCTCCCATGATCATGCCTGTCTCCCCCCCACCCCCCAGCACGCTGAGATGACGGGCGCCTGCAGGGATGCCAGGCATGTGCAGGGATGCCAGGCGCGATCTTGGTCATGCTGGGAGGGGGCGGGGAGATGGCCGCACTTATGCTTGGGGTGGGGGGAGATGGCCATGATCTTTGTTGTTGTCACTTTGCTTAACGTTTTTCTGATTTAAAAAATTATTACAGAACGGATTAACCTTATTTACATTGAACCCTATGGGGAAATTTAACTTGGCTCATGACCAATTTGGCTCACGACCAGAGTCCTGGAACAGATTAAGTTCGTGAGCCAAGGTACCACTGTAATCTTGCAAGTTCGAGTGAAACCGTCAGGCTGTTTTCTCTATCGGGCCACCAGGGGGTGCTGCTCCGCTCTGCAGATGCTGATACTAAGGCTTGGTTACTGGCAGCAAGACCCTTGGTACACAATCCTGTGCATATTTAGACAGAAAAAAGTCCTAGGATTTGTAGAATATTTCCTGCTGTCCTAACATGCATAGGATTGCATCCTTAAATTATGCTATATTGGCATGTGGCTGCTCCCTTTAGCCACTCCTACCCCTAGAATATTATCCCCAAGAGCTTATCTGAAATGAAGTCCAGCCCTCCAGCTGAAAGAGGTTCAGCGCCCATGATTTAGTGCCATTATGTGCATGTGGCTCTTGTAGGATACAAGAAGGCATGTCCCTGCCCTGGGAGCATGCAATGTAAAATTCAACATGGGAACAACAGCGGGGGGAGAGGAAGGGGGAGGCAAGCGCAGGCAGGCAGGGAAGGGATATGATGGGTCCAGGTTAGGGTTAGGAGCCGAGCTCCAGTCGGACAGGGAAGCAAA